GTGTTTAAGTTAATATGAATGTGGAAAATCTGTGTATTGCAAAGTTGTATTGAGAAAGAATAAACTAGTTTTATTTAAGAAAGGACTTGTATCACTGAAGTTCCTCTAAAAGAATGTATACCAGAAATTAACAAACGACAAGAGACGTAACAATATATATATACATGTATATATATTTACACACAAACACAAACACATGGTGTACCCGGTGTTTCATATGGTTGTGCTAGGAATATTTTCAGCCGTGCAGATTGAGATCTTTTTAATAACCAAACAGTTTTACTGAATATTTTCTTAACGTTGTTTCTTTACAAAAATACTGTTTTAAAGCATGAAAATGCAGACTGAAAGTGTAATGTGGAGTTGGAAAGCACAACCTACACAGTGAAACTTTGTAATTTGTTCACACTGTTACACGATTTGATAAAACTGTAATGTTTCTAAGGGAAGACAATGAATGTATTGGCAAAGGCTAACGGTCAAAGGTAAGATTAACTGTTTAACGTGAGTCAGCTTCACTGTGAAGGAACTGTTTGCAATCTCAACTCTCATTCTTTCTCACTGAAACTGGGTGCTTTTTACGTGACAATCAGATAGAATGCAATGGATGAGGTCACGTTGGAAATTATGGAGTGTGTGTGTGTGTTTCCCATTGTGTGGAAAGAACACCAGAGGGCAGCACATCCACAAGGTAGCTGGTTCAGTGGAAATCCATAGAACCCTGAGTATCTGGAAGTCCTTAGGTTTTCTAGACACACATTCTATGGGCGAGTTTCGGCATGAGTACATGTTATGCCTGTAAACATATCACCTGACCGGTACCTGATTTCATAGTTCGTGATCATAACTATCCATTACAACCCTTTTTAACCTATGAAGTTGGCTGCATCTTTGACCAATTAGAATTAAGTTAGCCTTGTATATGATTTTGGACTTTCAGTATTTAAGGTCAAGTTTCAGCTACAGTCAGTCCTTTGTCTTCAACTTTGATTAGGTGTTTCTGACCTAGTCTGCTCCAGTGCCCATTCCAGATTTTTCTTTGATTGAGACCTTGTTTAAGATGGATTCTAAAACAAGCTACAAATCCCTTCAACTGTCCAAGGCCTTTGTGTACAGTGAGGAGTTTGAAGTTGTTATAGAAACTTTAAATATTGGCCTGACTTTCACCATGAGCAAAGCTCATGGATGAAGACATGTTGCTAGTTGACACATCTGACATAGGAGTGCTCCCTGATTCTTCAACAGGTTGGTCCTGATGTCTCTAAAAGCCGAGATGCCTATGCTGAGGCCAGTGAAGTGTCCAAGGAAGTTTTCAGCTTCTGACTGTTTATCCCATTCCCCCTGGAAGAGTCTAACATCCAAGTATATCGATGACTAAATCTTTACCGCTGTTGATGATGTCAAAAAAGAGGAGATGAAAATCTAGGAGTGACAGGGCCTGGTGACTTATCTTGTTGTAGAGTATGCCAGCGCCATTAGGAGGAGACAATTCAAGAAGAGATTTTCTGTAAAAGGATTGTCCCAAAGGGCATCCAAGTCTTATGAATATATGGTGGGGTGGGCTACAGTACTACTTCAGCATCTAAGATTAAGGCAACAGTAGCTCAGACAAGCTAGTCAGCTCATGGAGAGGTTACAGCCATTAACAAGGAAACATCCACATACTGAGCTGAAAGTCCACGCTGGACTTATACTTTCATGAACAGCAAGACTACATCAACCAAACAACCATGAGAGACATCTCAGAAACATCCGAGTGTGGAACTCTCTTTCAAGCCAATGAAGGTAATGATGCACCAACCCACATTACAACATATACCAGTGCTCAAGGAGGTCGTCAGGAGATGAGTGCAAAGTGGACAGTGCCTTTGGGCCCTCTACAATAGGAGAAAGCTTGGCTGAGGTAAAAGATCACGCCTCTATCAAGATATAAGGTGGAGGTTCAGCACCTGTGGATCAAGCTAGCTGAAGTCAGTTGAGCCATAGAGAGAGCCTGAGATTATTTCTAGGTATCCACCACTGTCAGTCAAAAGATGGTGGCAGCACTGAAAACTTTGCGGAAGGAGTGAAGCCTCGACCATTGTCTGGGGTGAGTGTACATTCTGTTTATATTTAAATTACTATATTAGTTATTCTGCATATATTGTACTGTATTTAACTTGACGAGTGTCCTGTCTTTTGGATGCAGGAGTTTATGTTGAAGACAGGACCCTAACCATATTTTTAGATGTATGTATATATATATCTGTGTGTGTGTGCGTGTTTCTTTTTCTTCTTATTTGTTGTCCTCTCTCTTTCACTTATGTGGGTGTGTGTGGAAGAGCAGGAAGTAAAAGTTTCTTCTCTGTGTGGGTAGATACGTTTAAAATGCATTGATCCCTTTCTTTTACTTTTGTAGTTTTCTTTTTGGCTGTCTATACGCAATTTTTATATGTTTAACGTGTTACTACCCATTCATGTACACTGAGTGGTCACAAGTAAATAGACACCTAATTTTTCGTCATTTAACTGATTTATGCTAACTAATTTGTTTTCACAGAGCACTATATAAATGAAAATGGTCCGCACACTAACTATCTTGTGCTACAACATGCCTAGAACTCAAGCTTCTCTCGAATTGTCAGATTTTGTTAGCGAGGTCATGTGACTAATATCACGCCACTCCTTCTCTCGAACCTTCGTCAATTATCGGGAGACTACTAGATTGGGGGTAGTCTGGTATATATATATATATATAAGATGGTCACAACGTGATGGAACAGTGTGTAAGTAATGAGTAATTGAACTGCAGTCAGAGAGTATTGTTGAACTGAGCACGTGAGACGTTCGTTGTTATAGCGTTTGTTATAGAGCGACTGTTGAAATTAAGTGTATCGGTAAAGTTGTATTCGGAAAGAATAAACCAGTTTTATTTAAGAAAGGACTTGTGTCGCTAAAGTTTCGTCGGAACGAATTTACGGAAAATTAACTAACGAACGGAGACGTAACAATAGTTTTATTAGATGAATTAACTTTTAAACTTTTTACGTCAAATGGACGTGTTTATGTGTGGTGAAGATCAAAAGAAGCTCAGTTTTAATGCCTTTTGTCCTCAGTTAAGAATGGTGGAGGCTTTGTGAACAGCTTTTTTCTTGAAAAAGTTTAGGACCTATAACCTCTTTAAAATGTCAACTGACTACTTAAATCTTATTGGATCCAGGTTCTCCCTGTAAAGAACTATTTATTCCCAAACATAATTGGCCTATTTTATGAAAACACTGCACAAATTCTTGTTATTGAAATTGTTAAAGATTGGTTTAAAGATCACGAGGAATAGCTTAGACACATAACTTGGCCCTCGAAGTCACCGGATTTAAATGTTATCAATGGACAATTCTTGAAACCAAATTTCCAAGATTTCCACTACCATCACTTTATCAATTTGAAGCTTTGATGGACAAATGGTAAAACCCTTTTTAATGCTATATTATATACTTTTAATGCAACAATTCCATATTAATAAATAAAATGTAGAACTTAACAGGTATTTCCATTATTTTCTCCAACCTTGGTAAATAATTACAACAGAACTGAAACTGTTTGTTCTATCAGTTTAAATAATTTTAAAGTACCCAATTCTTTGTAGAGGGCGTTATTAACATAGTAATTGCATAATCTCAACTCAGGTTATTAATTGTTTTTCTAAAGTAGCACAGTTGTATGTTAATTTATTCTTGTTTTTAAATTGAAAAAAAATATTGTTCAAAAATTTTATTATAACAAATAATGCGGTTTTAATACTTTGAGGTACTTGCGTAAGTAAGTTTAAAAATGGCGGAGAAAGCACAAACATCAGGTACGTCGGCTCAACCGCTTGTGAAAATAGGCCATTACATTCTTGGAGAAACCCTTGGTATTGGAACTTTTGGCAAAGTAAAAAGTAAGTAAGACAGCGTTTCAGCTACATCATTATTAGTTTTCACTTACAAGCATTTATTAACACTGAATTTATTTCCCATGTTGCACTCGGAATTTCCAAATTTTACGAAGTTATTTGGGAAGTAAAGCTACTGTGCAGGGGCGAATGATACAGATATTACTAGTGGTACTGTGAATGTGATAGACATTTCGTATGAAAAATTTGTGAAACTTCGAATCAAGGGCAACATTCAGCTAAGCAGCGTGCGAATGCTCACGTAGCTAATGTTTAATCAAGCAGCAAATGCAATATTTTAAAATAATTTTCCCATTATTTGCATAAATTGAATGTTACACTTATTTTAGCAAGCAAAATAATAATTTAAAATATATTGTTTGTTTTATGTTAATTTGGAATATTCAAAAAAAGTACATCAATACAGTAAAAGAAAAAGCAAGATGACAAGAATATTTATTCTAAATCTGATTTCTAAACAACCACTAACTAGGCTTGTGTTAATGTAGCATGCTGTGATATGTAGTTGCCAGAGCAGCAGTTGTACGTGTAGAGACTTAATATTGTTTAACAACTTTCTGGAAGCTTTTACCAGTTGTTAATGTCAGTGATTTAGAAATATATGCATATATATTTATATATATCTTGTATGTAGTGTATTACTATTAATAGTGTGTAGAACAAATTATATACTATTACTATATCTCCTCATTTTGTGCTTAACCTTTAGTATTCAGAAATAGCTTAATATATTGCTCTTTTTGATTTAAATTAATTACATAGATAAAAGAATGGTCAGTAAATAATTTAACTTTGCTGATGATATTAAGGTTTTGGGTGTTTCTTGGCTGAGTGTGAGGAGGATGCTGCTAGTGCTACTTTACCATAGGATTTGGGTTATTTGGTGAGTTGGACAAATAAAGGCAGATGGCTTTTAATTAAAATAAATATAATGTATGTAATATATTGTAATTTGAATATAATTTTGATGGGAATAAACTTAACAGTATTATAGAAGAAAAGGATCTTAGTGCTCTAGTTGATCAGTCTCATCCAAACAATGTGCTGTTGCTAGTGGCAAGCAAATAAGATTTTTATTTGTATCAACAGAGATGTTGAATAAAAATTCTAAAGAGGTTATGATTCCATTGGTTATTTGTTTGGCCACATTTGGAATATTGTGTTTAATTTTGGCTTCTTACGTTAGAAAGGACATTGAATTGTTGAAAAGGGTTTGAAGGAGGACTACTAGAATGATACCTGGGATGGTAAGGTTGTCATACGAGGGCAAGTGAAGATTTCTGAAAGTGTTTTCTCTTGGAAAGATAAGAGTTAGGGGGAATTTGATTGAGGTGTTTCTAAGAAATTGATAGTGTTGATGCATCATCTTTATTGTAGTTAATGATGAGAATGGTAGGACTAGGGGACACAAATATAAATTTTGCAGAGTAGAAGTCATCTTCAGTTAAGATAGCTTTATTTTTCTATCGGGTGGTTAGCCTATGGAATGAATTACCTTCAGAAATGGTATGTGCAGTTAATTTAAGGGAAGGCTTGATAAATATTTGAATGATAAGGGCAGGCTTTCAGTGTATCATTTTAATTTTAAAGGTTTAGTTTAGTGGGTGGGACAGGCTAGATGGACCAAAAGGTCCCTTGTTGTCCTTAAATTACATTTATATGTGGTTAATTGCAAGTGATGAGGAGCTGAACACCATTACTTTGAAACAACATGCAAATATTGGAGTATGATAAATGTAATTTTGTTCTGTAAGGGAAGTTTTTATTTCCTGACTAAGTTTAAATTTTAACTGCCTAAGTTAACTCATTATTAAGAAACCACCAACAACAGTAACAAAAATATAAAACGATATATCCTAAGTGTTTTTGAGAGGTGGACCTTTCTTCATCAGGGTCAAATTGGGAATCCTGATGAAGAAAGATCTACTTTTTGAAAATGCTCTGGTTATGGGGGTTTTGAATATTTGTGTTTTGGATTTTTTTTTCTTCAACCTACATGCTTTTCCTAACATCATCAACAAAATTAAAAATCTAACTTAGTGAGGATTATAATATCCAGGACATGTAGGCTAAATGAATCAAATAAACCACAGCATGCTATAATTTCTCATGTACTTATGGAGTAATTAATAAATATTCCTTAATTAATGCACAATTTTAAAACATAAACTCATAACAATGAGCTATTAAACTAATTCACATTTATTACAATTAAATAACATGGATTAGAAATAGTAATGATTAAAATAGTTGGCTAACTTTGCCATCATGATAAGTAAAGGTTACTTTTTAGTCCCCAGTATAAGTTTTTGTCATTAATTGTGACTGTGAGAACACGTAACAAATATAGTTGAAGTTTATCCCTTCACAGACAGTTACCTGTTAACCAAAGAATAACCAGATGCCTATATAAGTCCCACCAGATTTTTACACACATTTTTGCAAAGTTATTTATGCACCTAGTTGCTTGTGTGTCCATGAATATGTTGGAACAGGATTCCTAAGAACATTTAAGTCACCCAAAAAAATACTATCAATATTAAAATTAATTCCATTGTTTACTTTGGAGATTTGTGTGTGTTTTATATAGAGAAGGAGTGATCAATATGATGTAGTACATGCATTGTGGGCCTCAGCAGTAGTGAATGGTATAAAAACAAATCAGTAATTTAAGGGTTAAAAATATATGTGAATGTAAATGAACAGTGTGCTTGCATACAATCATCATGCCGACCAGTTTACTGGTTTATCATGAACCATGATAGTGGCTCATAATAGTGTTTGCCCAGGAATTTTACAAAACTTCTAATAGAACATATGAACAAAAACTATCTTAAAAAAGCTGACTTGTTTTTGAAACAACACTCAAGACCTTCTATTTCAATGGCTGAGGCTGCTAAAATATTGATAATACCAAAAAAGTTGATTTTCTGATTGTTAAAAAAATTCTAAATTCCTCCATTTGTTCTTCATATTATTATTATTATTATTATTATTCATAAAATTCTTGTTTCATAAGCCTACAGAAGAAATGGCTATGAATATATTATTCAAACCTGGGCAAACCTATTTAAAAAACAACAAAAAACTCCTGCACTAGGTACACTCCATTAAAATTGATAAGTACTATAGACATGGAGTCAAAATAGGGATTTGTCGCTTGAGAAAATAATGTAGACACTATTTCCAGCCTATTTTGTTAACTTTT